ATGTTTTCTTCCTGTGTTATTTACATTTTCATCTTTTTATTTATCATATTTGTAATTGTTTCTTTTTTTAGCTTCATTTTATCTCATTTCATTGTGAGCTATTTCATTTGTTTTGTCTTATTTTCAGTTCATCAGTCAACTGTAAACCAGTTTAAACTGCACTAACCTGTATAAAAAGTCCTTTGCAAATAAAGTTTGATTGACTGACATATCAGACCTGGCTTCATTTTTCCAGTCTTCTACTATAACTCCTCTATTTTACCACTAAGTATGAGTCTCATATTATTAGTTTAACACTAGTGTGGTTAAAAATCGACCCTAAAAAAAATGATCCAGTGACTGATACAAAATGTGACGTATTCTCTGTCCTGACATGAAACCCTTTAAGAACATTAGTAGTTAACAGCAGGCTGAGAAATGTTGAGTTTGACAGTTTCCAACAATCCATTATATCATGTTTACAACAGATACATAAGAAATGAATTAGTCCAGTGGATGCTGAAATGTTCATTACACCAAACCACTGTTGGAGAAAAACTCATCTGAGAGTTGTTCAGTAGAGGGAATGAAAATAGAAAGTTTACCCTGAGGGTGATGCTGAAGAAAGGACATAGAATCAAGACAATCACAGAGATTTGTCCTCTTGGAAGCATAAATGTGTTCTGTAAATCCCACTCTCTTGTGGAAAAAACAAAGATTTGACCTAAATGTGGTGCCACAGCTTTGCTCTTTAGGTGTCCACTGTAGAAAAGGCTCATCCTTCAGCACAGTGGTTCTCAACCTATTTGTTTGAAGATGAGTTTAAAATAAATATATCTACTCCTTCATCACAAGTGACAACCTTAGATTTCCTTCTTGGATTATTGGGGTCGGAGCACCAGTGATGCAAGGACACAGTTGTTCACGTAAACTTTAAGTCTTTTGATGTATTTTTGAAGGACTAAACATGTCAACTTTGTACACGTGTGCGGTCTGATAAAAAGTCTACATTTACTAGGGTTAGGGTTTGTATGGGACCCATAGTGATTTTAGCAGCAAGAACAGCTACCCACCCATACTAGGATTTTGAATGACATTTCACTACTCTGGTTATTGTCATACATTATTTCTACATTGTGTATTATTTGTATTTCTGATTACCCGAGAGACACTGGAATGAATATAAACACTGACCATGTTAATGCTTATTTACGTAAGCATTAAAATGGTCAGAAAGGGTGTCCTGCGGGCGTGGTCAAGCTACTGATTAGAAGACCGCCACACAGCTAGCTTACATGTAGCAACAGGGTGATGCTCATGTAAACATCTCTGAGTTGCAGAAAATAAAGCCTGAACCCCCATGTTAACTCATGCACACCTGGAAGTGTTTTTTGTCTCCGCGGTTGCAACATTTGCACTTTTGAATTATAAACTGGCTCGATTGTGTCCCTGTGTGTGGAGGTCACTCTGACAGATCGTTGAAGTTCGGTTCAGGTAAAGCTACGTAAAAGGTTTTTAGGAAAGTGAGTATTTGTCTCTGGCTGAGCTCCATTCTTTGATTGTTTTTTACCAACTGATTCTAGATAAGGCTGAGGAATTAAAGGAAGAAACTAAACTGATTTCTTTATCCAGTGGAAAATATGAAACGGTTTCAGTTAGACTTGTACGACACAACTTTATTCTCTGTGACATAATCCAACACACTTAAAACCGCAAATATT